TCGATTAACGAGTTAAGTTTAACGATTCTCCTGGTGCAGCGTTAGAACAATCTACCAAAATAACTGATTTTGCATACGGGTTAGCGCATGGGTTAATGCTGTATATCCTCTGGGGTACATTTTCATATTTTGATTGTTAAAGATAAATTAAATAACAGCTTTATCATCAATATGAATTAAATTTATTGTGACAGTTGAAATCAGAAACTTTCATTCTCTTGTTTCAAACTAACATGAGGGGGAGAGTTTAATCTCACCTTCTCAATGCGTTCCCCAGCTGTCATCATGTAAGTGACATCGTATTTCTCCACGGTGCCATTGGGTGGAGTCCAGGTGGCACGAAAGGAGCTCTGTGTCACCTCTGAGGTCACCAGATTGGTGGGTGCCTCTAGAGTATGACATAATAAGGAACGAAAGGACAGCATGTTCAGTATTTTCCTTTTTAAACCCACTACCACTCTGCCGCCATAAACCTGCCCTCGCTATTCTCACTCTTCTGACAGCGAGACTCCTGACCATCTGCTTCACTTAAAAACTGGGTTTTGGTTACACTTCCATGTGACCTTCACCACCAGTGATGACTAAAATGTCTAAAAATGACAGAGCAGTATTTAAATATTGATTTGTATAAAAAGCTTTGAGCAGCTATTTACTTGTGAAAATTGCAGTTTTAAACTTTAAAATCTTACATTTAAATCACACTGCTGTAAACTTTCTGCTTCATTTGTTTTAAATCCTGGATGAATATGTGTTTGCCTAATAATACCAAGCATCGGCCTCTGGGTGTGAGGTGCCAAAAACTGCATTTCCACTAGTGTCCACTTGAGGCAGAGTCAAAAAGTGAGTCAGTTCCTATAGACTTCCATGATAAAATGTCCAACTTTACAGCAGAAATAAAGACAGATTGATATAAATATATATATATAAAAAATAAAAAAAAGATCAATCGACTTGGGATAAGTCGATAACAACTGTTTGGATAAGTCACCCATTTGGATTTTGTTAAGGCTTAAAGTTAAGGATGTGGCCATTATGGCTAACGGGATGGTGCAGACACAGCAGTCGTAGTTACTAGCTGTCTCCACTCGGCTTCACCTATGCTAATTCAAATCACTAAAGTAGACCTCTAGAACAGCTTGTGCTGTTTGGTGCTTCTTGGAGCATTTTAATGAAATTATCTGCCGTGCAGCTAATTACAATAACAGACTGTCCCAGAAGTCTGTACTTCAGTTTTGGTGAGTTTGTTGTTCATAGCAAAACTTAGTTTAT